GAAGGGACTAGGGATCCCGAAGGCGAAGCGAATCGGTAGATTTGATGCATGAACAAGCTTGGGGATCAGCAAGCTGATCTTGAAGCCCGTCAACGACCGTTCCAGGTCCCTGATCAGAGCCCACTGGAGGGCAACCGGCGGATAGCTGGTGGGGGCGAGGGTCTGTTGAGCACGGCCCAGGGGACCCCTCGTCTAAGCGTTTGGTCCCAGTCAATATTGCCCGTGGCACTCGTTCCTTCCCCGGCCTGGCTAGGTCTGCTGAAGCAAGTGAACATGACACCTCAAAGTGGGAATCGGGCCTCGAATTGCCCTCACTCGGGAGTGACGTCGACTAGGAATGAGGGATTGTGAGTTCCTTCGCCACCAAGTGTCAAAGAGTGGCTCTGTGTGACACAAGACGACGTCCGGATCTATCTAGAATTATATTGAGTAAGGAATATTTTTTTCCACAGGCTTTGAGGCCTCGTCCTCGACAAATAAACGAGATTGTGTCTGCGGCTGGCTTCTGTCAAGACTCGCCGGGGTCTGGAGCTGTTCTCCTACAGCATAAAGAGTCAGACGGGTATTATTCACGCAACCCTCAAAAAAGAGAGGGTTCGCAGCGTTTTATTACTGCCTGATACTAATTGATTACTCTTGTTCAGCTTAGCCTTCTTGGATAGCGAAGCCATCATCGCATGAGCCCCGCCCCTTAACCCGCCTTTGCGTACTGGGAAAAGTTGATCCGATACAATGGGTATTAAGCTTCTCTTCATAAATGGGCACTTGCTCGTCAATGTGCGAGATGCCGGGAGCTTTGACGAGAACTAGGACGGCAAAATCATGGTACCGGTACCCGCCCGCTTCGCGCATGGATAAGTACGAAGTACATGCAATGGTCGGAAAGTGCGTCCTTGAGCATCCCCATGATCGTGCTTTCACGCTCCGTCCAGGGGAAGGGGAAGGTACGTTTTGCTACCCTTATCCCGTCTTATCGATAATAGATGTTTCAATGTCTCTGAAAAAATTGACGCGCTGGTGTTCTGGGGCCGATGATCGCAGCGGGTCTGACTTTACACCTCACTTTACGGCGTTCTCATGCTCTTTCCTGGTTGGGAGGCTAAGTAAGGGCTTTGAGATTTAGAGCCTGATCATTTCAGTCTTGGCGTTTTGATTGATTAGGTTTTCCCTCTTTCTTCCTTCTGCTCCCTCCAGTCCGTCTCTTGAAATTGAAAGGAAACTTGAAGCATTGATCGGAATCGATACAAGCGTTTTGCACACTTGAACACACGTCTGGCACCAAAGGTCCTCTTCTTCTTTCCTTATTGTTTTTTTTTTCTTTCATTGGTTGTGCTGGTGGGTGGGGGAATTCTTGGGTGTGCCAAGGCCTCGTCAACATCTCATAGAGAGCGAGCAGCTCCGGTTCCTCACCTCCACGTCCTAAGCGACGAGCACGACTTGTGTGCAGGGGACATGCGATGTCTGAGGAGTTGGGGAGACTGTTGATGGCCTCCGCCACGAATCACCAGGGACCAGGTCCTAAATGGGGACCATCACCTGGCGGCGCAGATAACCGTAGCAAAAGGGTTTGGGGCATCAGAGTTCGGATTAGGTCTCGCATGGACGCTGTGTTCCACCGAACTGGGGACAGTTCGCACAGCCCGCCTAGGCCCCCGTCTGTAAAAGCTTTTCGCGATGACCTCATAGGGTTGGATGGAACAGGAGGAGAGCTCACCTGCATGGAAACCCCAAAGTTCAGAATTTGCTGCTGCGAAAGTGCTAGCTAACGCTGGCAAGGAAAATACATCATGGGAGATCGCCTCTCCCGCGATAATCCAAGTCAGTCCAGCCATGCTCGGTCTGAGGGGCGTTGCCAAGGACCACATTACTGGTGAGTGACCGGATAAAAACAGGGGCAACTCGTGACCCTCGTCGTGACCGTGACGATGGGGGCTTTTCGACGCATGGCCCTCAAAGACTTTTTGACCTCGTCTCAAGCAGGCGTCGTGCCTAGCCTGGCTCCCCATCCAACACCTGATTGGCACCATTGAAGTCACACACCACCACCACCACCCAGGAGCGGTAACCCACGCCGTTTGCTCCTTTTCTTCTTGAGATGTGACCCCACCTTCAGTTTCTCTCTTCCTTGATGCTGGAACAGGACTTCTTATCCCCCTTTCTTGTCCATCTACCCAAAGGTTTTTCTCGCCGTTCAATATCATTCTTGGGGTTTGCCGTCTGTCGGGCAGGTGGAGGCAAAGTGCATCACGCCCTGCTGTTGTCTTGTTGAAAGCCAAGGATTGATCGCAACCCTTTGATGACCAGATCCTCAAAACTGAGTCTGAGAAGACCCTTCTTTTTCCAACCCCCCTAGCTCTAAGAGAGGGGATTTGTAGGGGATAGGCTGGAATCAAATCAGAATGGCCAGACTTGAGCCTCTCCAAAAGCCGGCTGTGGATAAATGATCATTGCTGAAGTCACCTCCATCTGTTGCCCATGCTTTGAGCTTGGATTACCGAGAGCGGTAGTCCTCCCTCGCCCTCCCTCGCCCTCCCTCACCTAGGTAGAGGGGCTGGTTGACGTGCAGATCTGGCTGGTGCTGGCCACGAGCTCTCGCCTCCAGGTACCGGTACTTTGCCGCCGTTTTCATTGCTTGCGATTAGCGTTAGGACTTCTTGTCACCTCAACCAGCGCAAGACCAACAGCATGCAGTTACTTCATCCATTTTCTCTTTTTACCTTGAATTGTCTTTCCTTTTTATTTTATTTTCTCCCCTCCCCTTCTCCCTCTTTTCCCCTTCCCTTCTGACTGGTGACAACTCCATTTTGATTCACAACTTTTGTCCACCCCGTGACCTCGACAATCGAACAAGGGAGTGAGAGGACCGGCCAGAGTGGACTCCTCTCCTTCCCCCAAGCTGGCTCGAGTCGCTTTCAACGCCCAAGCCCCTTCCATCTTCGAGATCTGAGCGACTTTGACGACTTGATTGCCCTGGCTACGGGTGTAAGTGCGCTTTCTCTTCTTCTTTCGCCTGCTCCTCGGGCCGGCCGTTGAGCTTTGTGTAATGCCCTCTCCAATCTCCTGGTCTCTCCTAGCTTGGTGTTAAGTTCGCCTGCGCCCCTGCTTTTCGCCTGCACCCTTGCCCGCTGTTACCCCTCATTTTCTCATCATCCAGCTGCGTCCTGGACAGCACACTCGGGGCAACAGGCCGACGTGGTGATGTCCTCTTCGCCTGCCGGAGCTGGACGCAATCGAGAAATGCGCCTATCCCAATCTTTGTTGTTCAAACAGTGGTCGTTCAAGCACCAGGCCGATTTTGATGAAGCCTAGTGCCCTCTCCTTGCAGTCTTGGGCTTGACGAAAGCTCGGGCAAGTCCTGGCACTGCTCTACCCCCTCACCCCTTCCTTTAAGATTGCTGGTACCTACCTCGCCCTCGCCCCGTTATATTTTGGAGGGGGCTTTAGAGTTGCTATTGATTTCAGACACCTCCCGCCCACGCCAGAATCGAAGACCGGCAGGGCGAGGGGGAGGGAGGGCCTGGTGCCATACAACCATCACCTCACCTTAGTTGGTGAGAGCTGGGGGCGCCGTGTGTGTTATTACCCTCCCGATATGATATTGTGTCGCCTCGAGTCTCGATAAACGTACACCTCGATCTATCTTGATCTCGATGCCTTTCTTCCTACCCTACTAGCCTTTACCCTCCGCTGACTGGCACTTGTATTTGCACTTGACCTTGACACGGACCCCAAAAGAGAAATGTGGGCTCCTGCTCCTGTTCCTTAGAAGCGCTTGATGGGGTGTGGACTCCCTTTGGCGACAGGCAGCCGGCGTTTCTTCCCGCACACCAGACCAAATCAAACACCTTGACACTACCCTATAAACCCCTCGTGCCCGATCCACCACCCCATCCCCTGTCCCTCGCAAGACGATGGCTGTGTCCCGCTGATAGTGGTTTCTGCTCTCCTGCTGCTGAATCTCGCCACCACACGCTTGACTCCGGCGTCTTCAAGCTGAACCCGTCCAGAGCAGCAGCTGCGAAGTTTTTACCATCACCGTCATCACTACTTATTTCCTTTGCTGCTGGCATTCGCCCAGCTTCAAATCCTGCCTCCTCACCTCCCCTCTTCCTCTCCCTCTCCTTCCAGTCCGACTTGACCGAGAACGGAAATACTTGTACCTCGCTCCCTTCTGCTTTTCTTAGCCCTCCCCCACCTTGACAGAATCTCCACCATCCTACCGCCCCATCCCTCTCTCTCCACGCTCCGCATTTCTCTGGCCTCGCTCGGCCTTCCAGCGCGACGGTTGCCCTCTCCTCACTCGCCCATTAAATGAACTGAAGGGAACCTGAAGCCAGGGACATGGCCTATTTCGTCCGACCTTAGCGATCAATTTCATGAGCTTTACTAAATTCCTAGTCTAGCCATCTGCCAGTCTCATTTTTACCTTCCCCCTTCCATTCATCTATACCTTCAACAATTCTCTTGCTGGGCTTTTGCACCCTCTTCAGCTTTCTCTCCTCTTTACTTCTCCTTTCTCTTTTTCGTCTTTTTTCAAACTTCTTTGTTTGTCTCACCTTTCTTGCTTCTATTGGATTTTTTTACTGTATGCCATTCCATTCCGTACAACGGGTTGGGTTTTCGATTATAACTAACTCGGAACGAAACTCCTCGAACCAGGCCGTTGACCACGAGGAATTTTTGAGTGACCAAAACAAGCAAATCCATAAAACACTTGCTATTTCCCCTCAGCCCCATTTACCTTCCGTCTTAAAGTGTCCGGACCCTGTAATCCCGGCTTTGTCTCGCACACCAAGAAATCCAATTCTACCCGACCACCTCTTCGCACCCGCGCAACCCCGCAGATTTCGGTGAATCGCCTGCTTTCGTCGCCAATTGTCAACAAGACGTCGCCGCTCACCCGACGAAAACCCTGCCCTCCGGCCAGCCGTTTCGCCCAACCATCTTGTCGAAATCGAAATTATCCATCTCCGCATCGGTGTTAGAAACGAATTACAACCATGTCCTCGAGCCGGTCGTCAGCCTTCAATACCCTGCGGATGGGAGGTGAGTGTTCCTCCCCCGGCTTAATTTCTTTTTCGAATGCCCTTATCAATCTTGTTTGCTACCCTTTCCCCGTAGCCTTGACACTGACATGGCTTGCAGAGGTGATCCGCGAAAAGGTCCAGGATGGAATAACTGGCGAGACAAGGGAGCTCCAGTATACGCAAAGCAAGATTGTGGGCAATGGGTCTTTTGGCGTAGTTTTCCAAACAAAACTGTCGCCCTCTGGAGAGGATGCCGCGATCAAGCGCGTGCTCCAAGATAAGCGCTTCAAGGTGCGTGCTTGCGCCCAATAGCCCATAGAGCATCACATCGGCATCGCCCTGCTTTGTCCCGAGACTAACCAAAGCTGCAGAACCGTGAGCTTCAGATCATGCGGATCGTCCGGCATCCCAATATTGTTCAATTGAAAGCCTTTTATTACTCCAATGGAGAGCGGGTGAGCTGCTTTCGCGGCGGCTTCCGTTGCGCTACCCCTCATTTTTCCCTGACACGCGTAACTAATGACTTTCTCTGAACGTTGTAGAAGGACGAAGTTTACCTCAACCTTGTTCAAGAATTCGTCCCCGAGACTGTGTACAGGGCCTCACGATTCTATAACAAAATGAAAACAACCATGCCCATCCTCGAGGTCAAGCTCTTCATCTACCAACTCTTCCGCGCCCTCGCCTACATCCACTCACAAGGCATCTGCCACCGAGACATTAAACCCCAAAACCTACTCTTGGACCCCACCTCTGGTATCCTGAAGCTCTGTGACTTCGGTAGTGCGAAGATACTAGTGGAAAACGAGCCCAACGTGTCGTACATTTGCTCCAGATACTACAGGGCGCCTGAACTGATTTTCGGCGCCACCAACTACGCAACCAAGATTGGTGAGGCACCTCTCTCCCTTGACCCCCGCCCTCCCCTCCCCCTTGAAACCACATGGAAAGCTCTATAGGCAAAGGCGCTTTGGACTGATGATTGTATCAACTTAGATGTCTGGTCGACTGGTTGTGTGATGGCGGAGTTGATGCTGGGGCAGCCTCTATTCCCTGGCGAGTCAGGAATCGATCAATTAGTCGAGATCATCAAGGTCCTAGGCACGCCGACGAGGGAACAGATCAGGACAATGAACCCCAACTATATGGAGCACAAATTCCCTCAGATCAAACCCCACCCGTTCAACAAGGTTCTGAGGAAAGCTGACGCGAACGCGATTGACCTCATTGGCAAGCTGCTCGAGTATACACCCACCGAGAGGTTGTCGGCGATTGAAGCGATGGTTCACCCCTTCTTTGACGAGTTGCGCGACCCCAATACCAGATTCCCCGACTTTAGACACCAGACAGGTCAGGTCCGAGACCTACCTCCGTTATTCGATTTCACCCGCCATGGTAATGCCCCTCTCTCCAAATTCTAACATCACCATGCGCCTTCCCCTCCGCTCCTCGCCCTTCTCCTTTCTTGCTTCATTTTTTTTTTTTTTGAACTTTGTTCAAAAGCCCCGTATCATTCTGACTCATTGCCTTGCATAGAACTCTCCATCGCCCCTCATTTGAATCACAAGTTGGTTCCTCCGCACATGCGTGCCTCGCTCGCGGCACGGGGCTCAATATCGATGACTTCACGCCTTTGAAAAAGGAGGATATGATAGCAAGGCTCGATTAAGTCAAACCGATGTTATCAATCCATTGATTTTACCCGTCCACAATCTGATCGATCACGATTCAGTGGTTCCGGCATAGTAGCGGCTCTCGGTCCGGCGCTTAGGAATAGGCATGGTGGATGAAGGTAGGGAGAACAAAAAAATTCCGGTAATCTCGAGCTGAAGGAAAGGGAAAGAGAGAGCGAGAGGGATAGATCCCCGAACCTCACCTTTGAGATAAGAGCACTTGGGAAGATTGGAAGTTCTAGAGGTCAACCACTTCGAAGGCTCGCTACGCTGTTGCGGATGTGGACAAGGCGGGCTAGATATCTATCTGTCCTTAGACCGCGTGCCTTTGGGTATATTCTTGTAACCGCATCGACGGGCTCCGTGGCTGACACCCCTACCAAGCGCTCCATGCCTCTTCAGTGTTGGGATCGTCGCCGAGATACGCGAGGCTGCATCGATGCATATGAAAGGGAATCACGTTTTAGACCTTTTTCTTGTTTTATTCTCCCCAGATTTTATGCTCGTTTCTTTTCCAACCCTTTATGCATGACAGAGACGTCTCATGATTTGTTTTCTTCTTTGATGGTAGTGGTCTTCTTGAAGTCTGTTTGTCTACGAGATATGGTGTCTTTGGAACACAGCAGGTGGTTTCTTTCCTCTTGATGGGGAGACGTATGGCATTTTCTCTGCCAGTCCCGGACCGGACCCGCTCCCGCTCTCCAAAGAGGTTCCTGGGAAAGAATCAGGAGCACACGCATGTGGTTATGGACGAAGAGGACCGCATTGCCCATTTTTGAGTGCCAACTCGTTTGCTAGATTTGAAGAGTGATAGGAGTGCTGTGTTGTCTTCTAATCCTCTCCGAGGCTATTGGGAGGACTAAAGGTAGTGCTTCTTCCTGGTATAGCAACACTTGTACCCGTCAGGGCGAGGGTACGGAATTTTCAGGCTCTTTTTGAGGGCGAAAGTTGCCAGCTCCGAAGTTTCTGAAATGGGTTTCTTGCCAATGTCAGCTTCACCCGTTGACTTCTTGCTGATTAGTCATATCCCCACACAAGCTTGGCCTTGTCGCCTTAGGCCTTAATTTTGAGCTTGATGAGCCACTGGGTCTGCCTGTGGCTCCAATGAAAAGCCACAATTCCATTTTGCTTGCAGATCAGTGCACACCCACTGGAACTGAGCTTCCCAGTAACGCGAACAAGCCCGTCGCTTCGCCCTTGGCACGCTTCTTTCTCAATCGTCATCGCTACAACTATCCTTTCTGTTGCATTCAGGTCGGCGACTTGCATTTGTATCATCGAGAGCCTACGGCGATTTCCCCCTTTGCTATTCCCACTTGAGTAACCCTTTCGGTCAGGCGCAAAATGGCCGACTATGACCGGAGACAGTCCGGTGGTCACCATGGCCACAACCGGAAGCGACGCTATCGAGGTAAGGGTGGCCTAGACGCCTCGATCTTTTCTTCTCCCCCTCCTCCCCTAATCCGATCCCATGGGCCCACGGGACGGTGGGAGCTAAGTCGATGAGATGTGTGAGACTAATGTTTGAAAAATACGCAGACGATGACGACCACTATGACCGCCGAGGACCCCGTCGTCGCGTGGACAATGCGCCTCCCCTGTCCGAATCCGAAAGCAGATGCTCACGCTTGCCGAATCACCACTCCGACGCTGGCACGAAGAAGTGCAATCGATTGCCCGGACGGTTGCCGACAATTACGATAGCGAGGATTTGCGCAAAAATTTCATCAGCCTGACTCTGCAGCTCGCGGTCGAGCAGCCTCTCAAGACGCCGTTCTTGGCCGCCGTCATCATAATCTTGAATACGTTGAAGCCCGAGGCTGTGGACGATATTCTCGGACAGGTGGCAGCTGCGCTAGAGGAAAAGGTGAATGTGGGCGATTGGAGGGATGTCAAGCTGTACTTGAAGCTGTTGGCGTGTCTCCAAAGCGTCCTCACCGGCGATGGCGTTTTCCCGATCCTCGAGGAGCTGTTTAACCGGGCTGTGGATCTCCAGACTGCGAGTTCCGACGACGTATGTTTAATCAATGGCGTGTGCAAACGTTGAGTCACTGGGCATCACTAAAGCTAACTGGCACTAGACCATCGGTACAGAATTAGTCAAAGTCATCCTCCTCACTCTCCCATATGTTATGGCTGCGTCCTCGACAGACCAGTGGCACCAGAAGGCGGCAGACATCATGGACAAGACCGATATTATCGCGTCCGAACCTCACGCCCTTCAGGCTTTAATCGATTTCCACTACGCTGGGAGTGGCCAGGAGGATGCTCCAGGCTCCGTCAGTGTCATTGGCCTTCTCCAGCAGCTGCTGCAAGGCGAGGCAGCCAACGAGTGGAAGCTTGCATGTCTCCCCGCCCGTGGAGTCTACCGATAGAAGAGGTCGAGGCTCGCGAACGATTAGAGAACGCCACTAAGCATGACCTTCCGTCCATTGCGATTCCTTCGACCGTTGTCGCCGGCCCGCGGCCTCTCTTCCCAGAAGTTTACCTCTCCGTATATGGTGGCCAGGAGGTCGAATCTGTCCCACCCACCACCAATATCGCGTCGCTACTCGTGCGAGACGGCCTCCTCGACACGATAAACATTTTACATTTCAACCGCAATGTGACGGCGCGGTATCTAATCGACCTCGACTGCTACTTTTCCGAAGGGACCTTTGTCAAGCGGGCAACTCCGTTTGATAGACTAAAGGACATTGAGCCGTCCAAGTCGACTTGGAAGCCCGAGGACGTGGCGGTGGATGCTGTTTTCTCTCAGCTCTTCCTGCTTCCGGCCCCCGAGCACAAGCTCGTTTACTACCACTCAGTACTGACCGAGGCGTGCAAAATCGCCCCGGCTGCCATTGCGCCTAGTCTGGGAAGGGCGATCCGCTACCTGTACCGAAATACTGCTAACATGGATGCCGAGCTTGGCTACCGGTTTGTCGATTGGTTCGCGCACCATCTGAGCAACTTTGGTTTTACCTGGAAATGGACCGAGTGGGAGGAAGATGTTTCTCTTCCTAGTTTGGACCCTTGCAAAGCTTTTATCGTGGGCGCCCTCGACAAGGAAATCCGCCTTAGCTTTGCCCAGAGAATCAAGGGCACGCTACCACCCGCTTATCAGTCGCTCATTGACGCAGAAAAGGAAAAGGACGTCCCCGATTTCAAGTTTGATGACCCAGGTAAGCCTTTTCTCATTGGTGCTCTTTCCTAATAGCTATCCCACGGCTTTTCCTCCCTTATTTCATTTTTATATTTATATATTCTTTTACTAATTTATAACATCAGACACGCCCTTCTCTGCCGAGGGCCAGGAACTCGCAACACTCCTTAAGCGAAAGGCGCCGGACGAGGACTTCCAGCCCGTTATTGAGCGTATTCATACCGCGGCCCTCGACACCGGGCTTGACCCGCTCGTCGCCAGCACCGACGTCTTCATGACTGCCGTGTGCTGGGTTGGCTCCAAGTCTTTATCGCATGTTCTTGCTTGCATTGACCGTACGAAAGGTCGGTTGATCGACGTTGGTGCCGCTTCGGAAGGTGCTCGTGCGCAAATCATCACCTCTGTCATGGACTATTGGCAAGCGCATCCCGGGGTGGCCATCTCCATCATTGAGAAACTTCTAAATTACTCTATTCTTACCCCGTTGTCTGTGATCCATTGGTCGCTCATCGGAACAAGCCACGCCGGTGGTAAGCGCACGGGCGATACACTCGCTCAGTGGCACATCTTCGAGCTCGTTGTCAACACGGTTGCCAAGGTTACTGGCCGAGTGCGCCAAGTTGCGGAAGGCAGTCCCGGGGCGGAAACGCAGCCGGAGGAGGTCAAGGCTATGCGCGACCTGTTCCAGGCCCTTGAGGATTGCCTAGCCGAATGGTCCACAGGTGCGAGCGGAGAGTCACTAGATAGCGAGTCGCAGGGCTACGTGCGCGACTGGGCTGAGAGGTGGCTGAGGGTCTTTAGACGCAAACTAGCCATTGAGGAAAACTTTCTGCAGGAGACTGCAAAGGGTCGCGTAGAGGCTGAAGACGCGGTTTAGATTGAAGCTTGAGGTAGTTGATTGCCCGGAGAATCAGTCGAAGAATTGCACCAAGCAGCAGGAAAGTACGGAAAGGAAGCAAAACACAGGGCGCGTGGATGATGTAGATTAGTGTACTAGTGTATATCAGATGGTATGGGGATCGGGCTATCATTGATGCCTCCAACAGAAACTAGGAAGGGGCCATCCCCATCGCTGGGGCTACCAGGCGGCTATCAGGTCATCAAGGTTTAGTAGGGTTCTTGACTTTTGGTGGGAAAATGGAAAAGACTTTAATCGCATTGATCTCCACAAGTATCTACGTGCGTTGATTTGTTGTAACTACGCGGGCATGCCCTGTTTTTGATCTTCTGTATCCCCTCCGATTGTTAACGGAGTCCAGCCGCCGCCCTTAGATACTCTGTACTTTTCGCTCTGAACCGTGATGCAGAAAAGAGAACTCTTCAAGATATGGAAAATGCCCATTTGACACCGAGAACGCCATACTACCTATAACGCAACGCATCTAGAGAAATGAGAATCCTCCAGATACCATTAGGCTTGGAGGATTGCTTTGCCCCCTTTCTCCACGGCCGCCGCAAGAGCAAACCCGAGCCAGACATGCCCTCGAGGAAGGATCGTATTGAGGACTACTCTTTGCTCGTTACCTCCTCTGAAACCCGGGCGGCGGCTGAAACCCGGGTGGGGGAGGCATGAAACCGGGCGGTGCACCCGGTGCCCCGCCTGGAGCAGCGCCGGGTGGCGGTCCGAACCCGGGCGGCGGCGAGAAAGCTGGTGGTGGGGCCGCCGCCGCGCCTCCGGGCGGTGTACGGTATGAGCCTGGATGGAAGTCGGCGGGGTTGGTGAAACCGCCCTGGCCTTGGGGTGGCCGGGCGGGGAGCCCGGAGGGCGCGGGTGGGAGGGCGGTTGGGCCACCACGGCCATGCATGCCGGGGGTGGGATACCCTGGGGGTGGCCGAGGGGGTTGGAGAACCCGGGGGAGGACCGCGGGAGGGGACGCTGAAATTGGCAGCCATGCGTTGCGGGTGCATGCCGGTGGGCATCCCGGCCATGGCGTGGGAGGGATCGAAGCCGCCGGGGGCCCGCCGACGGGCGCGCGCGGGACACCCTGGGGCGGGACGGAGGAGGCAGGAGCGGCGGGGGCGGGGGCGGGTTGTTGAGGAAAGCGGCGGGGATGGTGGCGGCTTCGGGGACGAGGTTGCGCTTCTTGGCCTGCTTGGCGAGCTCTCTCTCCGCCTCGTCTCCGTGCCTCTCGCCTCGGCCGTCCTTTTGAAGGCGTACTGGACCGACACTTCTTTGCTCAGGATGTACTGGCCGTTGAGGTTGGCGATGGCGGCGTCGGAGCTCTCGAAATCGGCGTAGGACACGAAGCCGAAGCCCTTGCTGTGCGCCACGTCGTCGCGCGCGACCTTGGGAATCGACAGCAAGGGGCCGAAACGCGAAAAGGTGTCGTAGAGGAGCTTCTCGTCCACGGTGGGGTCGAGGTTGCCAATGTACAGCTCGGCGCCGACCTCGGCCTGCTTCTGCTTGTCCGCCGACGCCTTGTTGACGCGCAGGGATTTGCCGTAGAGCTTGACCCCGTTCATCACGTTGGCGGCGTATTCGGCGTCGAGCGGCGTCCGGAACTCGACGAAGCCGAAGCCCTGGTGGTTTTGGGTGACGCGGTCGCGCGGCATGTGGATGTTGTGTATGGGCCCCATCTGGAGCATGATCTCGTACACCATGGCGGGGTCGGCGCGCTCATCGATGTTTCCGATGTAGACCGTGGCGTCCTTGTCCTGTTCCCTGGAGGAGGGGGCCGGAGCCCTTGATTAGCCATTGAAATCGGTTTGAGAGGTGTGGCGGGGGACAGGTTTCAAAAGACAATGCTGATGAAGCAAGCATGTCGCAGAGGGGGGCGGAAGGGAAGAAAAGTTGCGACGGGGGTTTGGGAGATGAGTGTGTGTGTGTGTGAAGGGACAACATACCAATGCCTATTCTGCGCCATTTTTGCGGAATTTTTGCGATAAAAGAACCTTGTGGTTGGGTCTTTCCGCGACTCTTCGGCATCTGCTTCGCGACAAAACTGGAGCTTTCTTTGACAGCCGTGATGGTAGTAGCGTATTTTGGGAGGACAAGGCTGAGCCACAAAAAATGGACGGGAAAATGTTTTCGCGGCAGCCGGCAGGATTGGGGCCTTGTGTGGCTAGAGCTGACTCCTCAAGCTCCCAGCCACTTTTCTTTCGATGAATGTGGCGCTTTCGACACTGTAACGCACTGTGGGAAGAAAATGATGCTGAGTAATCCATACCTCCCGCTGCTTGCACACCAGATTTCTTGCACACGCCCAGGCACAATCAAAAAAGAGGGTTAACCAGGCCAGGTCAGTGAGGGAAAGCAACCCCCCTTCTCCATTGATCCTTGGGCATCCACTGTCTGTGCGAGGCACGGCTGATCGACTGAAGCCCTCACGACAGCGCCCGGATCGCCTCATCCTTCTGCACGTCCACGGGCCTATTTTTGAGCCTCAACTGTAATTGAACCTGGAGTTCTTCTTGAAGGTCGACTTGCACTCTTCTTAGCAGAGTACACGATGGCGACTACCGCGTCGACCGAGGTTGCCAGCAACGATGCGCGGGAGCTCACATTGAAAGTGGAATTCACGTACGTAGATCAAAAGAGCCGAGCGAGCGACTTCTCATGTCTCTTGTCTTATCCTTACTGCCGAATGCTTCCGGTTTTTTTCTTTTTTTTTTTTTGGGCTCACTTATTTGTGCCTGCCTCTCCTTTCTATCGCAAGTTATACTTTCCCGAGTTAGCACTGACATAATGCGTAATTGGTAGCGGGGGCTTGGAGATGCTCTTCTCGGACCAGCGCGAGCATGCGATCAGCGTGCCTGCCATGAGCGAGGGCAAACCCGCCACGGTCGCCCTTCTCATTGATTACCTGTGCAAGAATACAATGAAGGACTCGCGCAAAGAGCTCTTTGTGCTCGACGGCCATATGTAAGCCTCCATCCTATTCAAATACGAGAACAAGTCCCGGTGATCGTCGAACGGACCCATCTATGGCAAGGACCACTCATGAACCTGGCACTGGCGCAAATCATGGGGAGGGCGTTTTCCTAGAGGACCGGGTACCGGGAGTTCCCTTGCCGAGAAGCTCTCTGCTAATCAGTGTCACAGCCGGCCAGGCATTCTTGTGCTCATCAACGACGCGGATTGGGAACTCGAGGGAGAGGAGGAGTATGAGCTCCAGGATGGAGACAACATTCTGTTCGTGTCAACCCTCCACGGAGGTTAAACGCCAAAAAGGGGAAGGGGGTACTGTCGCGGGGCGCTCCATTCCTTTCCCCGGTTGCCTCGCCGTCCAAGCTCCAAGCGCTAGGGCCCGGGCTTGACCGCGGTATGGGTGGCGGCCTGTGGCCCTCTTAATGAGGTGGTGGAGAGAGACAGAGAGAGAGAGAGACAGAGAGAGAGAGAGAGAGAGAGGAGTGGAGGTGACTTACTCATGCGAGATTGAGGCGGCATCTCGCTCGCTCAAACAAGCGACGACCGCCAACAAAATGGTGCCACCCTGAATGAGGGGAGAGGGGGAACGGAGCACCTTTTCCCGGGACGAGCTCCGAGGGCTCAGCGGCTACTCTCTACTCACCCGATACGCTAGCAGGTAAATGGCCGAGATGAAGAAAGCAAAGGGGTGGCGTTCGCGGCTGTCTCGAATCTGAAAAAAGAGCTTGATACGGAAATGGCTTGAAATACTCGCACGAAAGCAAGTCGGGTGTATTCCTAGTTCGCGCGAGGTGGTGCTACCTTTGCCCTACACTACACTACACTACCTTTACGCCCCGACCTACCGACTAAGTTCAAAAGCCCGGACCACCGTGTTCCTTTGTGCGATGAAGCGTCCAACTGTTGGGGATCATCGCCCTCGATGACGATGATGGGCAATGGGAAACCCTCCGACCCAATGCACGCCCCCTCCCCCGTCTCTTTGTCATGATACGAACCAGCACAGAGATGAAGGACTTTCCAATGATGCATGTCTAATTACACAATTCATCATTTGCCCAAACGCACCTCCACCCAGGCCGCCTGGAGCCAGCTTTCTGGACTTTTTCTTTCGTCGCCTTGCCCTCCCAGGGCTCCGCCACGATTCGGAAGGCTCTCCCCGGCCCCAACGTTACTGCACCCTCTTTCCCCTTTCACCAAGTACGTTAATTGATCAATGTATGTTCGGAGTTCTGATTGACTCCTCTCCGTCGCGGCGACGGGCTGTCTCTACCGCTTCCTTGCCATTAATCACTTCTCCACCGCTACCGCCGCTCTCACTGCTACCGCTGCTACACCACTACCACACACGCGCACACGCACACGCACACACACACACCCTTCACCCCTCCCCTTCCCTCCCTCCCTTCCCCAAGATACGGGGCGATCGGGGTCGCATCAACCGGCTGCATCATAATAGCTTTTTCTTTCCTTCTTTCTCGGTGTACCTCGGTACGGCAGGTAAGATCAAGGTTTTTAACCTTTGGAGTTCGGCGTTCTTGCACCCTGTCATAGCGTGAATCTAGACAAGATGAGGAAACGTAGCACTCTCCTGAGGTAATAGCGATTGTGGCTTCCTAGTCTCCCCATCCGTCACACCCTCCATGACGCTTCTACACCTCTCACGACATTCAGATCTCCCGCCTGCCTCTGTGCCACTTTACATCCGCATTTCTGTACACACACGCCTCTACGCCCCCTTCATCTTCTCGCTCCAATTTTGGCCAATGAGGAAAAGGAACGCGGAGACGTATACGCACATCCGAGGGTTGATTGCAAAACATTAGATCTGCTGGACGGTGAAACGGGAGGAGGCAGACTAAATAGCGTAGCCAAAGGCAATAGGGGACTCAAATAAAAGGGAAATCCAAGAAATTTTGCAGCTCCCAGTGCACTAGGGAAAGCAGATGATGGAACCAAGGATTGGCCTGCTTCCCTTGAGGTGTCGAAGAGAATAGTGAGCATACATCCACTATATGCACGGTAAAAACGGAAGAGAGAGAAAGCAAGAGGCAGTGGCGCACGGCACAGCGACGCGAGAAAACTCGGCAGGGGCTCTTACTCGCCGGACCCTTTTCCGACCCAAGCCTAAACAGCCCAAGCTGCAGAGCGCGCATGCCTCAACTCTAGATTCTTTTTCTTTCTGTTCGACTGCATTTCCCTGTGCCGCATTTGCGAGCACATCCCCAATGCTGGCGGGAGATGTCGCACATGCAGGGAAATTTTCGGGGGATCGGCCAGTCCAGTGCATACCGGATCCATGTTAGCTATCCATTGGACTAGAATACACCAATGTATCAAGCATCAAGCACTGGATCTACTCTACTATCCAGCATTGATCAATTCAAATTTGCCTGGCTGGCCAGCTCTTCCTCTACCCCCGCCCCCCTCCTTTCCCGCTGGGGTTGCGTCGCGCCTCTGCCTGCCCCCGTCACATCTAGCGTCGCTTGCAACCTCCCTTGGATGACCATTGATCTATCAAATACCGATTCTGCAGGTGCCCAGAAGGGACATTGGAACTTGAGAACTTGAGGGGGAAACGAATGAATTGATCGCTCAAGTCTCAAGTCTCCGAATGGGATTGAATTGAAAGGGAAGAACCCTTGGAAGGCGTAAGGCCACAGCGAGTGTCAGTTGTTTGTTCAATGTTAGCATTGGGTATTGTTTCCTGGGGTGTAGCTAGCAACTCGGCACTCGTTGAAAGAGGAAACAAGGCGCTTAACAAATATCATGGAGATCAATGATAGAAATAGAGCAAAGGGAAAAACAACACAAAGGCGATGCCCCGCCATTACACATTACACATTACACTACACTACGTGGCTGACATTGATGGATGTCTCTTGTTCGCCCTTCCGATCGTGTGCGTTATGTGAAGAATGGATGCTGATTGATCGACATATGCGCAGTCTTTTTCTTCCCTTTCCCTCCCCGCCCCCCGGTTGCGTTGCGTTTCCATGCATCCATCTCGTCCCGTCTCATCCAAGCATTCTTCTGCTGAGGCGTCGTGCCTCTCTGGTGCAGGTGCTTGTCAAGCGCCACACCACACGCACACACGCACACGGCGACGGCACACCGCTTTGGTTCGGTTTTCTCCCATCCTCCAGGGCCATGGGAAAGAAGAAGAAAAGAAAAAAGGGTGTGCTGTAGCACGTCGCGACCGTGTGACCGCGCCTTTTTTTTTTTTTTTTCCCTTCTTTTCTATTGTTCCCCCGCCTTGTGCACCCCATGAGTTCCCCATCTCGATTTGGCGGTGAAAAGCAAAACGAAGGCTTGCGTTTCTTTGGGGTTGCGCCAGCCATGGAGATGGAGGGAGGGTATCATCGGGGGAGCCTTTTCTCCCTCCCTCTCCCCTCCCTCTCCCTCCCCCGGTCAAAGTGTCGAGAAAATAGCACAACTCCGAGGGAAAGGGGGCTATCGGCGGGGAGGTGCGTAGCGTTGCGTTCGGAGGTGTAGCAATATAACAATGGTGATCGGATATCAAACGAGGAGAAAAAGAAAAAAGGGTAACAATTACCCGACCTCCAACAACGACCCCCTTCCCCCACCCCCGGTTGCCGTGTCGGTAGAGCTTCACAAAAGAGGGTTAGGGCGTGTGTAGATTGAGGTGTTGGCCGTCTTTGTGTCCCATGTTCCTTTAGGCCAGGCTCTTCCGGGCCACAGAGAGAGAGAGAGAGAGAGAGCGAAGGCGCAAGACAAGGCTACCGGGTTTTTGCCACAGGGTTGCAGCGCAGTAGAGAAATCGACGCAGGAGACAGTTTCTGGCAAAATACCAGGTTTTTTTCCTTCTTCTTTGGTTTGTTCGCAAAGGGCGTCGCGGGGCCACCACACACCAGGCGCGCGGCGAGAGGATTCCGAGTTTTGATGAGAGTCAACCATGTCAACCTGCATTGGACAAATGGCGCGCGGGTGAGTGCCTGTGATTTTCTTTTTGCATCTTCGCCACCCTCGAGACCGGCGGCGGCGCGGGGGGCAGGGAGCGGTGAGGCGCGAAGCACTTGTTCTCTTTTTTGAGGCCTTTTTCTTCTTCTTTTGGTGTTGTTCTTCTGATACACGTAGTCTCCATGTATGGATGGGAGAAGGACGGAATGGGAAGAAAGCGATGCATTTCCAGACTCGGAAGGCCCAAGAGACGTCTTGCACGATTCGGCGGCTAGTCCACATCTTGTGATCTTGTGGCCAGCCCAAGACTCTACACTACAGTGTCTCGATGTACGCGACGATAGAACAAGGAAGCACAAAGGGCGCCTACGCAAGAACAAGAAGCGTACATGGCCCAAAGGAGACAATGGATCTATGGGTATAGGCACGGGGAAGACGGGAGTTGCCAAACCAAACCAAACCCAACCCAACCCTGTCCGACCATCTCCCATCGCATGCGCCGAATGCCTCTCCCGGTTCCAGGACACGAGTTCGAGTAGGTGCTGAAATAAATTCCCGAACGCGCTGGAAGACGTCGGTATGTACGATGTAGGTTGGCGTGGGGATGCCATTCTCGTTTGTTACTTTTTTCTTCCTTTTCTGTTCTTTTTTCTTTGGCGTTTGCGTTCTTTACGTCCTTCCTCGGCCATCATTCTTTTTTTCTTTTTATTAATAGGATAAAAAAACAAAAGGCTGCCGAAGATTGCTCCAGGGGCGATAAAGATAAGGTTCCTCGTCGAGACATCTATGGATCCATCTATTATCGAGGCGACTGACACCCAGCAGGGCTGTCGAGTGTCGAGTGTCTTGGTGGTGATGTTCCATTGGTGTCACGTCCGTGTAAGTCGCCGAGTGACAGCAATCAATTCATTGTGTTAGTGTTGGAATGATTCAAGCTTCGATCCTTGCTATTAGCTCTACCATCAATTCCGTGGATCCAATGGCTCTATCGGTAGTCCAATTGATCCAATGTACAAGTAATCTAGCGTAGGGCTGGCAAAGACTCCGTCCACGCGTGGGCCTACACTAAAACCTGAAGAGCGCGGAGCTGGCACATACATCCATTCCATAGTACCCACCACATCCGATGAAACACCGCTTGAGTAATATTTTTGACGCTGGAGGGCTCTGCCGGCACTCGACGTAGCGTATTAGGAATAGATTGATCCTTGGTCGATTCATCATTCCATCACTAATGATTTGGTTCCCCTCGATCAAGTGTGGCCATCCTCTATCAAGCAAGCGCTCTGTCTGTGGCCATGTGGCCATGGAGGTCACTTCCACTTTTCGCGACACGCACCAGCTCAAGGCCGTCGGATAAGAGACACGCACCAAAACGTTGAAGTCGTCAAGGTGCAAGCGGCTCGCCAACTTTTTTTTACCTTTCGCTCGTTCACTCTTTCACTCGTCGTGTTCATTGATGTTGGCACCCGACGCAGGTCCACGCTACCCACCCTCACCCTCACCCTCGCCCTCGCCCTCACCCTCACACCACGTCTCCATCATCGACATGGCATGTATGTACGGATGGATCGATGAATCCTTCGTCTGCTTTTACCCTCCCCCTCTTCTCTTCCGGCTGCGCTTTCCAACTCGTCCATCTTTTTGTTCTAGATGCTCCACGTCTGTATTCCCCCTCCTCTGCGACAACTGTTGGCTGCCTTCAGTTTCGCACACACCACACGCACACGCACACGAGACTCTGACTATCACTTGCACACTCTACACTCTACCCACCCCTCTCTTCCTCTCTTCCTCTCTCCCTCATCCTCTATATCGGATTGGTCCCCGCGACCAAGGCCCTCTTTTTATTTTTGTTGAGACGGTCATCGAGAGAGATCAATAGTTAGAACAGAGCTACTCATTCGGCCACGGTGACTTCACCCTCCCCATTTCCACCTCTTCGGGGCATGTCCGATGCCTTATGGCAGATCCGTTCTCCCAACAACATCTGCCGAATGGAGAAACATGAAGTCTTTCGGACACAGCCCCCCCATGTCCTAGCCGTCCACTGTGCCCAGCATACACTCCTCAAAGAAAGTAAACCAAAGAAAGGGTCTTTTTGTATCAGTGGCCGGTTTGGTCTTCGCTTCCCCTTTCCGGCCTCTACCACACCCCACATATGAAAGAATGGACAACGAAGAGTTACAAAGGGGGTCATGTAGTCATGTAGCCTTACACATCGCCGACAACCACGTCGTTGCAATAATGTCTCGTCTTCTTAGCAACCGCGATCGTTGTATCCGTGACCACACATGGAACATGGAAGACGACTACGCCCCCCGCCCTCTCTCCCACCAAGACTTGAGAAATGTATCTGCTTTCCTCCGTGGCCATGGCCGTGCAAAAACACAGCGGACAAGCCGTAAACACCCCTTCCTTTCCCCCTTCAACGTGCCCGAGGCAGTGTCGGCACATTGCAAAGCCCGCCCGGCTTGTCCTTCCCCTTTGCAGCATTGAGAAAAAGAGCGAGGAAAAAGGCCAACCCCAAAGGAAAGGGAAAAAAACTTGTCTGATCACCGTCAACGTATCCATTGGGCCGCCGACACGTCGTACGGGCATCCTTGTTGAGATGGTGCTGTCCGATCCTACGTCCGCCTAGCTAAGCTCGACCCCCAAAATAAGAGTGTCTGGTGTTTGACGTAGTTTTTGTTTTGGGGGAAACGACACCAATCGTGGATTCCATCTATCCTCTTCTCCCCTTTCCGCAAAGATTCCAAGAACGGGGCCTAGCCACAGAGATGCGGTACTTGGCATCGCTCATGTATACACACCCCGTGCACATGATTCGCTCTCTCGCAAACTACCAATGCCTGCTGCAGGCTGGGGGAGGGCAGGCCACCCCAAGCGGCGACCTCGCTGGCCTGCTGATGGGCGATGGGAGCGGGTGTTTCATGGACAAGGCAAGAGGGCTGGTCCCTGCTGGCTCCATCTTTCAGCGAGCGTTATTTTTTTCCTTCTTCTTCCCTTCCCGTCTCCTCTTCTAGCTCGTGAGCTAGCGTTCGAGGGTGTTCCCTGGCCTGGGATTCGTCCTTGCACTCCATCAACGTTTACTTCAATGTTGCGACGGATAGTAGCGCACGCGGATGCTATTGGAGGAAGAGATGGAATAAGTCGAACGATATTGTTGAACTAAAGATCAAAGTAATAGATGTTACTATATTCCTCCCAATGCTCAAATATCGCCATCCCTGTACCGCTGGCCTAGTGCCCTCCTGCATGGTAAATCAACAGGAAAAGAAAAAGAAAAAAGAAAAAGACAGGGAAACCGAAACCAAAAGAAAAAGAGAAAACAAAAAGACCACCGGCTAGTTTGACCTCCGTTTCGGACCATTTGAGATTCGCCCACATGTCCTTTTTTGCCCTGTTGCCTCTTGCAGTGACCGAGTGTTGGGTGTGCGTAGTGTAAACGCCTTCTCCATAGAATTATTATCCAATGCTCCTGCCAGTCGTACACGCCTTTTGCCTCAAGTGCTCCTTTTTCTGCGGGCCACTGCCCGAGTGCTCCCCCAGTGCCCTTCTCTCTCTGCCCTTCCCTGGTAGCCCGTAATCACATCCATCGTATTCTACATAGTCCATCTTTAAGAGTAACGAAAAAAAAGAAACAAGAAAAGAACAAGAAACACAAACGCCGCTGTCCAGTATATAAATGTGAGTGTGAGTGTGAGTGTGTGTGAATTGTGCGTATCAAACACTTGACGCCGTATAAAAATCAGATTGAAGGTATCATCGCTTTGAATTGCTTGTTCCCAAAAAGTGCCTTCCAAGTGGTTGGGGGGTTTCTAGTAGCCCCGGTCGTGGAAAGACTGGCTGTGAGGCTCGTCGTACATGCTGGTTGCCGCGCTTGACGAGTCGTGATCTCCCATGCCGTTGGATAGGTGGCCCCCGAGCATGCCGGGCCCGGACCTGTCCATGGCCGTGTTGGGCAGTCCGTTGGGAGGGTTGAGGATACCTTGTTGGGGCACGTGCTGCGAAGGGCCAGAGTACGAGCCCCTGTGCATCGTGGACGTCTCTGGAGGGCACACGGGGAACTGGGACATGACGGTGCTCTTGGGAGACTGCGAGAGTCCCGACCGCTTCTCCTTGCCCCGGCCCTTGATGCCCTTGTTGCTGTTCTTGTACGTCGTGGCAAAGTATTCCCACAACTCCCGGTCCGCTTCGACACGCTGCCTTCCGAAAGAAGGGCAAACTTGGCCGTGAGGTTCCTTAGAGCTTCGGCATGAAACCGGTTTTGATGCGACTAAAAGACAGAAAAAGTTAGTCCATGGTTTCCTTGGATATTCATGCTGCTGTGCTGGTGCTGGTGCTGGTGCTGGTGCTGGTGCCGGCCAGGAGCGCAGGGGAGGGTTCGCGGCGGACGGACGCTGCTCTTACCTTCAAGTTTCCGCGCTGCGTAAAGTCCTTGTTGCACCCTTCCAACTTGCAGACGTAGGGCTTGACTTGCCTGTGCACAACTTGGTGGGCTCGGACGTTGCCCCTCTGAGCGAACCTCTTGCCGCAAACGGCACACTCGTACGGCTTTTCCCCGTGTGTCGTCGCTCGTGTGTCTAGTAAAAATAAAATGGGTTAGTTGGTTGGACTCTTCCTCCAAGTGCATGGTGTTGTAAGCTTGCTTACCTTGAGGTTTCCGAGCTGAGAAAATCGCTGTCCACAGCCTCCAAATTTACACGTCTGTTTGATTCGAAACTCTGATTAGTGTCTGTCCATGCATCGTCCTCCCCCGGGGTGGGCTTGTCATCAAGGGTACTACTCCTGTCAACTCACATAAGGCTTGTCTCCAGTGTGCGCTCTTCGGTGAATGTCCAAATGGGTCTTTTGCGAGAAGCTCTTGTTGCAGTCGGGGAAATCGCAAATGTATCGCTTGCAGCTGGTCCTCGACTTCTTTGACCTGTCGGATCCAGTGCTTTCGGGAGAACCAACCTGTTCCTCGTCTGCCGTCAAGTCGTGTTCCTGTGGGAGCCGTGTTGCTAGGGTCGAATAGCCTACCTCCGGAGAAGGATGACTGCTAGTTTCTGCTCTAATTTTATCTTCGGCCACCTTGACAATGTCGCTCGTTTCAACCTTGGCCTGGATGGCTCGCATCAAAGTGTCCACGTTGGTCGAGAACGACACCTCATCGTCCGGGTTGACCGTCACGTTGGACGTGATGGTGCGCGGTACCTTGGGAAGCTCTCCGTCCGGTACTGTTAGGGTCTTGGGCTGGCCGTCGCTCTTCACCGAAGGGCTCTGGCTATGTTCTTCGTACGGAGAACGAATATCCCGCGGAGGGGGCGCGAGGGTGCGACTCCGGTCATTCACCGGGGGCATCATCACCATTCGATCCTGGTACTGGGGTGGGCGGGGTGCCTGCTTATAAGGGTCCCTAACCGCCGGCGGGGCGTTGTAGCCGCCGTTGTAGGGAAAGTGGTTTGGCGCCGGATAGTGCTGCTGCGGTGCGTTGTGAATGGGAGCAACGTTGAACGAGCCGGGCATGTAGTGCATGGGGGCCCGGTGAGGGGCGGGAGGTGCTGGCGCAACGGAGCGGGAGTCATAATGCATCAGGCTGCTGGCGTCCATCATGACATATTCCGGGGCTCCGTGAGGTTGGTGCCAGCGGTCCCAGCTGGGAGGGCCTGGGGGTTGAGCCGCCAACGCCATTTCGAGAATGAAGTGGTGGTTGAGTAGATATCAAGAGGGCTGTCTTTGGCCAAGGGGACCTCAAGAGGACCGAAACTGTTTCCTGAGAGATCGATGAGCTGAAGAGACCAGGAATAGAAAAGTCTTGGAATGTTGATATGCTCCTTTGTTCCTATGTTGATTGAAGAGAGAGAGACGAGGAGGGGGAACTGGAGGGAGTAGGTCTTGTCTCAAGTGCTAGAGGACGAAGGGGTTATATAGTTTGAAACGGCGAGGAGGCGATGGGGAGTATATATATTTTGCAAGATGGGTCGAGTGTGAGAGGAGGAGAGAGAGTGAGAGGGAGGGTACGAGAGAGATTACTGATGAAGAGTAAGTGATGCTTGCTTCTGTTATACGTCTCATTCGTACAGGAGCGATGTCGAGGGCAAGCAACGGCACTCACAAGATGCGGGCCGTGAGAACATATTATACTAAGAGGCGAGAACGCTACCACTGCTGGGGTGCACGCATCCAACCTTTTGGTCTTCGACTTTCAACTCGAAGCACGTCGCAGGCAGAAAAGGGCAGAGAGCAAAGTAACATTGGGGGAAGGGGGTTGATTCTTGGGGGAGGGGGTGGGAGGGGGTATGCGAATGGAGAAACGATTCACAGCTTCCAGCTGCCACCCTCCAGGACTTTTTCACTTCTCACCCCCTAGAGGTCCTGAGTCGTTAGACACGATGAAGCAGGGGCAGGGGTGGGAACAGGGGATGACGGAGAGAGAGACGGGGGTGATCAAGGGCGTGTCATTAAGCCTCAGATACGGGAACCAGGTTTATCTCGCTCATGATGCAAAACGGTCAACCAAGCCATGTAGAGAGGCCATCGCTTTTGCTCCGTTGAGACCTCGGGGCTGGGTGCAGGTCGATCAGGCTTGACCCTCTTCCTCAAGGGTATGCCAACCGATCCATTGTCTACTGACAACCTCTGTCGCGCAAAGGGACGGACACTGAGGACCTAGTCTAGAGAATTCGCTTCTCAAAGACAACATATTATTCTCCTAGCCCATCTCGTCAACAATCTGCTCAAGATAGCGATAGAGAGGGCTCATATTCTTGTGGTGAATGGAAACGTGATGATGTGAGATGGCGGCTGAGATCTCTGGCACTGGCACGGAGAAACGAGATACCATTGAGCATTGCTGGAGTGCCGCTTGTATGAGGTTTTGTCGGGTCGAGCAGGTAAGAACAAATACCGATATAGAGCCCTCTTGGATTAATAGTGTATTTTCGCGCCATCCAGCTGGAGACACCACCTTGCATGTGCCTAAACCAGTCTATTGTGAAGGGGGGCGGATATTGGAGAGTTGGCTACAAGTACAAGCAGAGATAAAAGACGGGGGAGGGAGACGAAGTGGATGTGGCTATTGATCCATTGTGATGTGTGGGTGTGGGAAAGAGCATTTGAGGGAAAGGGAAAATGGAAAAGGGAAAAATTAGTGGGCACCTCTGCTCTGGCAGTTGAGAGATCAATCCGTACCATATCTCTCTAGGCCAGCGTGGTGGTCATTTATTACTTCGTACTTCAAAGTTGACGCCAGCTACCACTTGTACCTGTAGAATTGAGCCCACACCCCCTTGCCTGCTGTTGAAGTGGGCCACTGCCTGGGGGTGGGGCTTGTACAAGTAAGACAGAGGGTGGATAAGGGCGGAAAATCATCGTTGTATGTACATCTATGGCAAAAGGTGATGGGGCTAGAATTATTAGGTGCTCGAAAGGAGTGAGGCTACTGGCGGTGGTGCAGTGGGCTTTCTCATCTTGGATGGTCTTGCAAGACAAAACATGCAGCAAAAAGAAAAAGGCCGGGCCGGAGACGGCGGGTTGCAAAGGCGATCTGAGAGGCAACGTACGCATTTCCCATTCATTTCAAGGTACGTTTTTTTTGTTTCCTCACTGGCTGGGGAACTTGAACACGCACTATGCACAGTGCTGCATACTCACGAAAGCAATGGATCCGGAACTACAAATGGCTGGCTGTACGGCGCGGTACATTGCGGTACGGTACGGTGCGGTGCTGTGCTGTGCTTTGCGTGCTGGAGAATGGAGAATGGCTGGCGGCGCCTGCTATAGAAGCCAACGCCGGTCCTTTCGCGACTTGGGCGGCGGTGCGCCAAGATTTTTTCCTACGTTTTGCGAATGACCAAAGCCGAGGGAAGCGGAGAGAAGAAGAAGGAGACTACCCGAACTAGCGGGGTCATGGAAGGGATGGAGGGAGAGGGGGAAGAAATGCAAGACACTGCGCTGGTCACGAGCAGAGAAACGTGCTGTCTGGGTTCAAGGCAGGCTCTCTCGGCCAGACTGTTCCAAGGGCTGGTGCCAAGGAAAACGGGAGGGACTGTTTGTGGGTTATGAGGGAGGGAACGCAACTTGATCGTGCAAACCCCCAGGGAAAGCCAGGGGGTCGTGATGCCGCGAGAAGGGCAGGTAGCCCGAGAGCATATGCGCTCTGTGGCTTCCTCGTTCGAAAATGGAGCGCGATCGTGGGGTTGAACAAGGGACGCTTTAGACACAGACGAAGAAAAGTAGAGGGCCAATAAAGGCCCCCGGCGCCCAAAACAAAAGGGCAGGGAGAGAAGGCCGGGAAGTGCGGTGTCCCCCATCGAAACACATTCTCAAATGCTAGCAGAAACATGGTCGGAACATTGACGGTGCCAATGGCGAACATTGACTTGGCTATATTTCTTCTTTATCTGGGGTAGAGGACGGATGTTCGCGACCTTGTCTCTTCAAGTGGGAAAAACAAGTAGCCCCAGAGCAATGAAAAGCTTCAACCCGGCCCACCCCTCTACGCCATTGTCCTTTTTTGAAGACAACTTGACCCTGCTGGCTGTTGCAAAAGGTTCACACAGCGGCAGAGTGAAATCGACGTGAACAAAGGCAACACTCAGAAGTTATCAATGGCATTAGGTACCCACACGTCATTGATGGTGGTCAATGATGCGTTAGCCGTGACCTGGGGGTAGGAGGACATGGGTGAGGACGAGGGTGATGGGAAGGCGTAGCCGGGGGCGGGAGGGCCAAAACGGCAACGAGGATGTTGATATGTCAGCAATAGAAACCGAAAAATAAAAAATAAACTTGCTTGGGTACCCGAGGGAGCAGTGATGAGAAGAGAGGAACTTAAGAGAATTGATGTGATGAAACCAGGGCTGAGGGGTTGAGGCGATGAGCCCGTCCTGATCAACCGTTGCGTTGTGGGTGTAAGGCGCTTACTTGTGAAAAGCGTGATCCAGAGATGCATCGCGGATCCCCACTCTGCGCATAGCTTAGCTGCTACTTCTCTGGCTTCTTGGGGCGATTCGGGACCGCAATACAAAGGAACTTGTGTTGCCCTACTGCCCCCTACAGATTTGACCATCTGATTGATCTTTTTGGATAAGAGGAAAAAAAAAAGAGGGAAGGGGCAAGCATGCGCGGGCGCCAAGCAATGTTCAGAAATTAACCTTGGAAAAAAGGTGTCGAATTCAAACAAGTCAAGGCTATCTCGTGGTCAGTCCTCGAAGCTAGTTCCTGCCTGCCAGAGCTTAGAAGGACGCGAAATTTTTAAGGTCATTGGGGGACCCTTTGGCGAGCGCAACACTGCTAGCCTCCGTCTTCTCGGCCCGGAAGCTTTGACCACCAGCCGCTCCGTTTTCACCCCCACCGCCTCGCCTCGTCCTTCTTTCCCCCATGACCGGCTGGTGGGGAGGCGAGGTCTGGCCATGGATCGACACTTTTGTTTTCTTTATCGTCGTCACCGCCGGCCACGTTACTTCGTGCCTACGAAAGGGCATCGGGTGCGTGAAGGCGGTCAGGGCGGCGATGACGGTGGGCGGATCGTATGAAACAGGCTCGCTATCTCTCTCTCTCTCTCTCGAAAAAAAAAAAAAAAGGCCAATCTAGAACAGGGCTGTGGTCTCTGAAGCCAAAGCGCAACTTCGAGCGGACATAATGAACCAAACTAGTGTCGATATGGGAGCATCCAAGAGTCATAGTCAAGGGCTTTCTGTGTGTCGTTGTTGCACCCCATCCTCCACATTCGAGACCTTCACCCGGTCGTTGTTCAAGCGAGGCCACGATCCTAGTCATCTCTTCGCGTCAAACTCCAACATCGGCAAGATGGCTTCTTGATATGTAAACTCTTCCGGCATCAACTCCTACGCTCAGGCGGCCCAAGCGACAAAAAGAGGACTGAACAGACAGCGATAATGGAATGCGTTACTCTCGGAGTTGGGGGTATGGGTTGATCGCGATACTCGTCATATTTTCCCCTCATGCGGCCCTCATCATTTCTACGATCAAACTCCTCCCCCGCCGTCGGATGTCTGCGATTTGATATTCGGGTAACGGCATATATTTCCATCGTCACAGCGATGTCGCCGTGAGTTGCTTCAAAGCAGCTCACGAGGGGGCGTTTGTGGGGGCTTGTCACGACGGCGGGGGCTGGGGGAAGAAAGGCGGGGGTTTAAGCTGCTCATCCACCAACGGGAAGGCCGTCTTCCGCAATTTGACGATGCCGCCGTTCGCGATGTTGTTATCTGAGAGACGGATGTAATAATAAGTCGAACATGGATATGTTACCTTTTAGTTTTATCGTCATTTTTTCTTGAACTGCTCTTCGGCAGTATGGACGATAGAGGTTGCGATGATGCGCCGCGTGTGGTAATCCTCTGGGGTTTGGCCCCTCCAAAGGCAACGTTGATGGTGCACTTGAGGTGATTATGTGCATCGAGGAGCCCCTTTCTGTTCCTTCCTCGCCATTATTTCCTCATTTGAAGAACTATCAAAAATGACAAGCCTTGGCGGATTCGACCGTTGGAGGCATGGCAACAACATGTGCAAAAGACCGGGCCAATGCAACCGCCTTACTTATTTTTAAATTTTTCTCTTCCCTTTCTTCATGGGCAAAGCGTCCTAATCGTGGTCAAGCAGCAAGGATGTGCCTGGTTTGAAAGGGGGTTGAAGGATCGATCACGTATCAGATCCGCGCGTCTTCCAGC